CTATGTCAGAGATAAATTGGACTTGATTCCTTTTTTTTATACTCAAGGTCATTTCAAGGTTATATTCTAGTTATCAATGAAATCAGTCAAAAAAATTGGGACATATTTATTAATCAATGACGTTATATATTTATATTTTATTATGGCATCGATGTTGTATTTCAAAGGGCATTATTTATGGAATTACCTGATATACAGGGTGTATTTTACGATATAAGTATAATTTCGGAGTTTGATAGACTACACAGAAGTGGTGTAAAACATTTATACAGACATGTATTCTATTTTTTCAAATTACAGGTATGTTTATATAGTGTTTGTCAGAATTCTTCTGTTAACAATCTATTTCGAAGAAACGATTAACAATTGATAATTGTTTCGTGTTATTTCGATTCACTGATAACTAGTGTGCATCGATAATAACAAAAATTTTAGAGATACAACTTGAATACAAAATCAAATAGGAGACATGTTTATATAAACATTTTTCATTATTGTCTGGCTGATTCGCCTCTGAAATTATTATGTCGATACAGTCTGTGCATGTGTATATGTATATAAACATTGATTTGTCAATACGGTAATTTAAATTTTCAGTTTCCAGGGTATAAATTCATTTCGCAAATACTCCAACTCATGCCTTCCAGATTTGTAAATTATTTCACTCGACATCGTCGATACGTGTTTCGAATATCACACAATAGCGAAAGGAATGTAAAGAATACGTATTCAACAAAAATTGTTTTCAGTTTGTCGAAGTCGATTATGAATTGTTTATTAACTGACCACGTATATTATTTTCCGTAACATCCGTTTACGATTACGTTCGATCGGGATACTCGAACTTGTAACATTATATTGTACAACATTCGGTTTTAGTTCCCATGATTCTACTACAAATTCATACTAGGAAATGTAGTATTCCAGATACAGTATAAAAGAAATACTTCTTTTTCAATTTTTCACGTCATAATAAAATGTTAATAGCGCGATATGTATGAAATAGATTTATACATGACAAGTTTCTCTTTATATGAAATAAAGATGAAATTCATATGAGTCTGTTGTTCTTATTTCGCGAACGGTAAATCATGCTACCGTAGAAATAATATTTCTTTGAATTTATATATATTTTTAATACAAGTAGGAGCGTCGAATACATTGTAAACTTTATATTGGTTACAACAAATTCTCAAAAACACTTGTACATATGAAGCAGCACATTGTTGCTATTTTTCACTTCAGTAATGTCCAAATTATTCGTCTTTCCTTAAACTCTATACAGTGTTTCATTTATCTCATCCAACATGAAGGACTATTGATTTTAGTAAATATGTCTGCATTGACATATATAATTTTTTCTTCCAATACTTTTTAAATGAGCGGAACGTACGAAACCATCTGTATCAATATAAATATCTTTTTCATCATATATTTTCGTAATAACTAAAAAATATCAAATATTTTATACAGGACAGTCGATGCAGCAGGACCAACTCGCAACTCTTTTCTGCTTGCAACATTGTAACTAGAAAAAAATGTTAGAGGAAAAAGTTGCATGATTCACAGAGGAGTTATTACAAAATCGTTTCCGTGAGTATACTAAGCAGTTGCGCAATTATTATAACAAATTCAGAATTTTTTCCCACAGATCGATCCGTCTCGTAATTCCGCGTAAGAAAATATTAAGGTAAGATGGTCGACAGGAGAATAATTCATGAGATATTCTCAACAAATGTCCGAACATTTTCAAACATCTAAGCAAATTGAGGTTTTATCATTTTTTTATACCATTTTTATTTATCATTACAGGACAGTTCACATCATATTTATTTCATTTATTTTACGCACAACTTAAACATAAATAACTGACGGTTAAACATAGTTGATAACGTTGGATCATCTATCTTACTAGAAGTTGCATAAAACAATATAAACTAGTAAAATCATCTGAGAAGCAGTCAGGACAAAGAAATTAGACTATTTCTAGAGGCCTACAAAACATTCTAACTTCAATTACAAAGTGAAAAACATATGAAACCCCAAATATTTCAGAAAATTTTGGAAAACGATAATTTTTTAGATAGAAACTTTTAACTAAGGAGGGACAAATACATGCAATGTTTAGAATATAATGAAGAACCGTTTGGTCATATTGTTTAATAATAATATTTATGTATGACATGGAATATTATGCTTAACGAACCTATTAGATACGATGCTTTGCTTAGTGAAATGTGCGTCAAGATGAGGCTTAGACCTACATACTTCCATGGCTCGAATGGATTTACAATGCAAATAAAAACGGCGTAACGAATCGATGTCCCAAATTGACAAGTTTATATGTATGCCAGTCACTAGGCCAAGATCCACGGCCAGTAGTCATGGAATGCTGGTCAGCATGTTTCAATTGTGTGAAATTAAATCCCCTACGCTACGCAACCGTTCGCGCTTCATAAATTTTCGTCGTTAATTAACACACCGTTGCTCTTCTGTTCGTGAAGCTCTTAATCCCCCTGGTTAACTAATGTAAATAATAGTTATCAATAGGCGGAGCAATCTAATCAGCACTATCGATAATGGAACGGTTATACATACTGTGATCTTAGTGAATCATAATGAATCATGGTGAATCGTTATAGGTGTTATTTTTTTTAAACAGAAATTTCCTTAACATCTTCGTTGACGTCTAACTTGAATAATGAAAATTTACATTATTGCTTCTCGTTTTCTATATTTTATTTTGTGTACACTGTTGATCAAGCAACTCTATGTCCATAATAGAACAGGGAAGTTTATGCATACAGAGATTTTTATTAAATGATTTATGGAAAACAATGTGAAGTAAAATCATATTGTTTATAGATTCCTTTTAATGATTTTGTAAACCTTAGGACTCTATCAGGTTTGAAATTGAATGTGAAAAGTTGATTACAATTTATTGAATTGTTCAATGCTGAGTTTTAGACAATTCTCTATATATTTTACTCAGTTCACAGTAATTAAGAGTAATTACCATTAGATTGAATAATAATAATTAAAAATAAAGTATGAAAATTATCTTGATAGATGTTGTTTCTAGTAGAAATGTTATCTTGTCTCGTCACAATTTTAATCAATGTTTTATTGATTTTACGTTCTAAATAGACTAGCAAATTTTGTTAATGGTTAAGTATTTTTATGACATCTTTAAATTTCCATTGTTAAACGCGGTTCCCAGACGTATGTAGGTGTCGCCTAGAGTCATTGGTCGGGAAAGTGTTCAGAAGTTACGTTACCATTCCGATGGTCTTACCGGGAAACTTCTCAGTTGACTAAGCTTACGTAGATACCGAGATAATCAAAGAAACAGCTCCATTACCACACGTACGATTATGAGCGTGGCAGGCATCACTACGTACTGTATTACTGAAAGGTATTTTTAGAATGTACCGTTGTCGGAGTGCAGTAAGAGCAACGGCACATGAAAGTGCTACCTGTTATCGGTGGGACTGCAATTAGGAGCAATGACATCGGTCACGGCTACCTGTATATTTTTCATGCTACTGGCCTTTCCATTCGTTGGACTTAATTCAGGAATTTTTCCTTAGTAACCTGTATTTCTTTCGTTAAATTGCGTCGAAATATTAATAAAAATGTTATGAAAAATGTATGGTATATCAATAAATGTAAAGCAGGTAAGAAAAAAGTAATGTATGGCAAGTATATTAATTAAAATTCAATAAAGGTAATACGTTACAGTACTGCAAATATTTATTGCACCATTGGAATATGAAACACGTTATTGATTATACATCTCTTATTACTAGTAGTAGGAAAATTGATTGAAAACGATATTTGTTGCAAAAATGTGTACTTTACTCTAGTTTGACCAAAATAAGTTGAATATGAATCATTTTATCAATTCTATCCCTATGGAAATTCTGCGTATTACCTAGATTTCAATAAATATGTATATCCAACACTGTGTGTACATAAGATTAAATGGATTCATCCAAATTTATATCAGCTTATGTAAATTTGTCACCTGAACAAATAACTCACTCTTATCCAAACTCGTACGTTATTAAAATTTATATTGTGTAAAATCTAGCGAAAAGTATACTCTATTAGAATTATTTTATTTAATTATTGCAGAAATATTAGAACATTCATTGGTGCATCCAATGGCATTTGCATACAAAACAAAAAACTAAAACACAGTAGAAATTGCAATGTTCATACTGTGAAAAGTGTGTTTATTGAGTAAGCAAGATATAAAGAAATACTAAAATTAAACAGAAACTAAGAATTTCACCATTTTGCAAATTAAACAAAACTCTCGACAACCATTATTAAATTTTCAATTATCTTTACGGTTCCTTTCAATCGTATATCTCTAATGTATAAATTCCACAGTCTAAAAAAAATCTTCTCTGAATCATCGAATACTTTTCGTCGGAACTCAGAAATAGTTGCAAACAGAAGCATTTTCGAGCGGCGTCAAAAGAAACTTTCTTGCAGAAGGTTGAACGGTACCGTGTGGATAAAACATTACACCCAAATGGTACCATTTAGAAAATTAGGGCACAGAATAGAGATTGCAATGCCACACGGTGTGAAGGGCACGCATTGTTGAGCAAAAGCAAGTTATAAACCGTCGGTCGTGTACGTGAGCAAGATTCTTAAGTAATTAGAAGCGTAGCGTACGTGTTTTTCCGAATGACGTTCCGCGATATGACGACAGTGTCTGTGACCGGCAACACCACTGACTCATCGATCAGTACACGTCGGGCCGCGGCACGGTCGAGCTCGTCTCTTCCGTTTCAACGACCGTAAACGTCAAATGCGTGTCTCGTAGTCGGCTTTATTGACCCGTGCTCAGTACGTTTTGTATTTGTGTGTTATATACAAATGGTGTTAACAATCAGCTGTTAGTGAAGTGGTTCCCAGTGCCTAATTTTGGATACCAAAGTCTTGGATAGTCGAATAAGGAATTACGAAAACGGAGATTTGTCGACATGGTGAGTGTTGGTAAACAGCAGTGTGATACGTCGTGTGTGGTAATAGTAACACTGGAACTGCCGGTACTGGATTTATACTACAGTAAATTGTGTAATATAGTAGTATTTATAATATGTAATACAATTTAGTAGAATGTAGGATAAATTGAAGCCGGCGTAAATTTCGACGGAAGCACTTTTGTGATTTCAATTAGTGTGAAATGAGAAATTTTATATCCATCGTTTTGACAGGTTAGGAGTTACCAACTTTGAACTTATAATACAGTAAATTGTGTGATATAGTAGTATTTATAATTCATAATACAATTTAGGAGAATGTAGGATTAATTGAAGCTCGACAGAAACACTTCTGTGATTTCAATTAGTGTGAAATGGGAAATTTGAAATCCATCGTTTTGACAGGTTTAGCGGTTACCAGTTCTGAATTTATACTGCATTATGTTCTGTGATATAGTAGTATTTATAATACATAATACAATTTAGAAGAATGTAGGATAAGTTGAAGCGCGACATACATAAATTTCGACGGAAGCAGTTCTGTGATTTCAATTAGTGTGATATGGGAAATTTGAAATCCGTGTTTTGACGAGTTTTGTAGATATAAGGTTGAACACATGGCATGAATTACTATTAAAATAAATAGAGATACGTTGGATGATAATGGTAAACACGTGGCGTAGGTTATCATTGATAATTAAATATAAAGTGTCGGTAATAAATACATTTCATGAAATTGAATAAGTCTGCAATCTGTCTGTAGCTGATTTGTGATTCGGATATTTTTGATCGGAAATGAATACATGTGAAAATTTTAGTTGTGAAAGAAAATGTTTTAATGTCGTTTGATGAGAAGTTTATTTGGATCGCCTGTAATTTGGTATAATGTATATTTGAATAATGAATAATTAATAATGTATGTAAAAATCGTAAGAATTCGTGTTGCATTAACTGTTATTTATAATCTCAAATTATTGGTTGTTTTTCAATTGTTTTTCTTATAAATTTGGAAATTTCGAGTAATGTAGAAAATAGGTTGAAATAATTTAACAATAATATACTTCCATTCCATTTAAATTGTTAGATTCTACACTAAAAACATCATTTAAAGGACAAGTTTGACCAAACATATTCCTTTAAAACCTTATCACATCAGATAATCTTGCACTGATAAGATGAAGTATGGTTTGCGGTATAAACGTTGGTAAGAAATATGCACACTTGCTACAGAAAAATTACTTTCAACAATTACATGAGAATTATAGTATAAATTAATGGATAGTTTGCAAATTATTTATAAAATACAAGTTTCATTCCTCTTACCATTAAGTAAAAGTATTAAAAATTGCATTACATCTTTCGAAGAACATTTTGTACCCTAACTAGTAAATTTAATTCGTTAATTAGAGCTAATTAAACATTTGACGAAATTTCGAGCAACCTGAGTATGCACTTCACGAAAAAGAAAAATAGAAAGTAACTTTCTTCGTTGATTTCTTCGATGAATTGGGTTTTCTCTTAGAAAGTAGAAGTATTCGGTAACAAGATTAATCTGTAACAATTACAAGACACTCTAAACATTATGATTTTTAGTAAAAAAAATGATAAATATGAAAATTCAATGAAATATAATGAAAAACATACATTGTATATAACATTGTGATTTTAGAATTAGATCAAAAGTACATTATCCAAATTATTCTACAATTCAGTATTTTTACTTGAAAAATGTTTTAGTTACATTTCGTTACATAAAAATAGCGCCTAATGAAGGGATCGAAGCAATCATCAACAGGGCGAGAAACAGATTTAATCCCATGTCTATCATTTAAAATATATCGCTTTACAATGAAAAAAATAGTGAATTATTTATTAGTACACCTGATATATCTTGGATAACAACACTTCAGTTATACGAAAATTTTGGAACGCAAAATTGTGTCCTCGAATAACGAATTGAGTGGTTTATTTGAAAGGCAAAGTGTCAACAGAATTAAGTGAATCACGTATCTTCCAGTTGTATCCTTTCCTCTGCTATTCGACCTGAAAATTATCGATGTCGCGTATTGGTTGAAATACCACGTAAATGTTTGCAACACGTCAAAACAACGCAACCCAGCCACTGTCACTATTACAATTAAAAAATTCTGAGAGTCAGATGTTTCGAAAGGATAACAAACGTCTTCATTTTGTCTTGTCATTGAACCGAGGAAAAATGAATCACTTCCCGTTCGTGGAGAAACAAAGGAACGTGTAACAGACACTCTAAACGCGGTGTTGCACGAAATGATCGAGAAACGGAGTCAATCTTTAGTTACATATTCAGTGATTCTTTCTTGAAACACAACGGTATAACGATTTAAAAATACACATGAGTTTAAAAATTAGAATAAAAAACTATTGTGCAACTTTGGACACATTAAAAAAAGCAGAAATAACAGCTATCGAAAGAATTTGAAAATTCATTTGTATGAATAATAAAGTATTCGATTACAATAATTTAATGTACACGATAATGACCATGAAGGGTTCACGTTAAATTGAGTAGTAATAATTATTAGTCTGTAGATTTTATACATTTATCGTAAATGCGAATACGTAAAATAGAACACAGTAAATATTTTCAGAAAGATGAGTATTTTTACTGTACTTTGCACCTAACGAAACCTTTAATAAGAGAAACAAATCACTGACATAATTTCAATTCTGTAAATTATTCTATAAAAATCTAGATTTCCATAAAAATCTATAGTCTAATAATTATTTCTCATAATCGACACGTAATATAGGGATTAAGAAACTGCGCTGAGTGCATTCAATATACATGTGTATAAATCCGTGTGGATATACAAGGTGTCCGATAATGAATGATGTAATCGAAGAAAAGATGATTGTACGTGCAGAAACAAATCGATAATGTTGAATAATACGTCTTCTTACGGAGCTTCGCTTTCTGGAAAATCTAATTTGAATAATCATCGAGTCGCGTGCGTTAGAAAATGTCTGACTAATGTGTCTGTGTATTACTCACCATATGCACTTATAATCACAGACGATGATGCAGTATGATCTGTTCCCCATCGATCCCGTTATCTTCTGCATACAAATTTATGACTAATTATAGTCGAAAATGGATAATAACATAGTATATGTTGCTGTGAACATTTGATTTAGACGGTTTTTCATGCAAAAAATCGTTTACATGTAATTTGGAGGTGATCAAAGGATTTACTCACTCAGTCTACCGTTACCTTGTTAAGACTATATTGAGTACTCTTTTTATCTTAATGAGAACTCCAATTAGAGCGCATAAAGAAATATTCAAGGCATCGTAATACCGTAATAATACGATAAAAATAATCAGGTCACTAATTACCGTTTCATAACTAGATACCAATGTTGTGTTCAAAATTGAGGCTGAATTCGAGGCTGCATACAAAAATCAGAATAAAAAGCTTCAGAATTAATAAAAGAAATGCAATAAATGTGAATGAAGTTGTTATTTTATTTTCAATTTAACGAACCTCTGTATTGTTAAGTACAATATTCTTTGATCCAGATCTTTGTAAAATAATCCAAATAAATGAGAATCTGCATAAATACCCCTAGTTTAGACATTACAAGTTACAATTGCTTTTACACAGATTATATATATTCTTTCAATTTTTGTAATTTTACGTTTGATGAACACAAATGTCGTCATTAGATCCAGCAGTGACCGATAATTAAGTGTGATTGAAGAATTGTCATCAAATAAACGATAATATATCCAACATGGATCAATTACTTGTAAATTGATTATATCGAATTAGTAGAAATGATTGAAAGTCTTTTGTAGAAAAATTGAGCTTAATTAAAAATTTTCGAAGATCCACCAACTAAAATAAATTTCAATTTATTGAATTGAAATTCTCGCAGAAAAATGCTGTTTGGACCTGTGTCTTCAGATTCCTGTAACTTTGAGAGAGAATTCGCATCGAGACGTTTTATTGCCTTGAGCTCAATAAACCAAATCAGAAGGAAGGCGCCTTGAGAGAAATGATTGTCGCCAATGACGATGCATCACACGTATAGGTACATCCTGCATTATAGTTAGTGGAGCTCTTAGTCGTTGTTAAGGAGTCTAACGAAGACGAGGAGTGGGTGTTGATCCATTTATGTCGTGCTATTAATGACGATAATCATTGTTAAATATTGATAGGTCGTCTGCATGATAGCTGATAATGAGAATTGTTAAACAACACTGAATCATGTGCGCAGAAATCAGTATAGGCTGTGCAGAACGGTTAACAAATGTATTACTGTACATTTTGCATCGTTTTTATCTCGTATTATCAGAAACTTTGATGTACCAATAAACAATTCACTGTTTCTTTTCAATCCACTACCAAATCTGTCAAATGACAGATTGCAGATTTCTTACTTTACTATTATTAAAATTATAAGATTTTTTTATTAGATGTACCCAAGCAAAAATCTCTCACAGATGAACTTTTCGAAGAGCGGGTTCTGCCTAAACTAAATTGCTGTAAAGTATCCTTAAAATAAAATCTTTTTGTTGCATATTATTTTGAGTATGATTTCTGTTGCCAAATTTGAAATACAAAAATAACACAATAATTCATTGTATGAAATAAATCGATAATATTTTTATTTTCAAATAACAGTATTGAAAATAAAGTTCCGAAATACATAAAGTATTTGAAATAGTTAGTTCTTATTTTCATTTAAAATAAAATTTGTGCAGGTCTGAATATAAGTAACGATTCTGATAGCAGTTTAATTCGTATTGACGCATCTGACACTAATGTCGTATAAGATTGTCTATAGTATGCCATGTAACGATTTTTTATATGTAGTATTAACACTAGACTTATTACGAAATCTCGTTTAAACACCGGAACAATTTTCCAAATCATCTAATAATTTTTCATTTCTGTAATCAGCAATCATTATCGTCGAGGAATTAATAGATAAGAAGGAGATTCTGCGTTACAAATATTTGATACAGAGAGACAAGCAAATAAAACACAGCTTTAAACACCTAGGCGGAACTACGGTAAACGAACAGCCGGCAGTCCCATTACTCTTCAACGGAAGAGAGACAATCATGTCATCGAAGTCCCGCTCCGAGACGAGTTTTCTTTACAAAGATATTTTCCTTGACCCTAAAGTGAACACGTATACAAAAATAACACTACTGTACACAATCCTCGACACTATAGTTTCTTGACCTTTTTTACTCTTCGCCTCATTTTCAAAGATTTTTGTCCAGCGCCCCTTTTGAGTAAACCATCTCTATTATCAACATTTCTTAGAGTGGTTGTGCATGTAATCTTTGAATCTTAAAAAGCTAGGTTGAAAGTAAAGAAAATACATTAACTAGAATGCCTCCCAGATCTCCTCAGCGCCCACGTTGGGAACATATGCTCTATACGTTCACTGATAAACTTACAATTCCAACGAATATTGGGGTTTATGTATATTGGGATTGTTCTACAAACATAGGAAGGTTCACTAGGTATAAGAGGTTAGTTAAAGAAATATAACTGTGAAATAGAACTGTGTTCCGTGAAGTTAAAAAGTAATTCATATTTCTCAAAAGGTTTACGAACATTATTTTTGGTGTAACAACAGGGTAAAAATAATTTTTATCGGATCTACATTTTAAGATAAAGCTAACTTAGTGTGCTATATTCGGAAATACATCATTCTTAACCTGATGTTATAGTAAACATAGTATCGTCAATTCGTAATAAATGTCACTAGTGTGAAACTACTATTTTTTCGACCGTATGTGTTCCAAGGTTTAGAATATTTTATGTATTCGAAGATATACTAAGCAGCAATTAGTCTCAAGTAAACGATAAAACCTACTCAATGAATATTAATTATGCTTAACCACCGATGCAATATAACACTGGCGCGATATTTTCATTTTAATCTCGCACAGTTGACGGTGTTGTCTTCAAAACATCGTTAAAAGTCATAACAACGGTAATTTCGTGACATTGCCGCCGCGTCACTTGTTACAATGTTATGACAGTGTGACTCTTTAGTTTTCACTATGACAAATCTCATCAGATTCAATGTCACGACAATAAAATCCATAAATTTGGGTCACGATATGAGTTTATGTTCGTTATACATGAAATTAATCGTTCATTTGCCAAAGTGATTAACACCACAGAAATATAAAAAGTTAAGCAACAATTCTGTGCTTAAAGACACTAAAGTTTGAAAAAATCCAAAAAGTGAAGTTAGTTACTTTGACCTGTGAACGACTGAAATATACAGTGGATGATTAATTTATTACAGCTACACTACGAAAAATATGTTTTGTTGGGATTCTTTTTTAAAAATAAAGTCTCAATATCAAGATTTCTACACTGGATAATTTTTAATTAACAATTATCCATTAAAAATACACACAAGTAAGTGTAATTATAAAAAATACAGTTCAAATTGTAAAATCGTCAATTTACGTAGGTGATTCTAATAATTCGATCACTCTGTGTTTGCGACCAATGTACTTTAGAGCAGCCAGTGGTCTGTAAAACATCGAATAGAGTACGCGTGCATTGAAAGATCTGCGACACAGAAATCCTAATTGGATTTAGGTGACTTTTCTGTGCTTCATTGCTATCTGTACTGAATTAAGGGTTTGTTATTGTACGACTGTTACGTGATGTCAAATACTAAATATTGAAATTTATTTGAAAGCAATCATGTTATATAATATAAACAATAACTTAATACCTGCTTCGATCCAATTGAGAAATAATAAATAAATATGTGGATTTAAGGATTGTTAAATGCTAGAACACAAAAAGAATCATTATACTGATCGACATTTTTTTTTATTCAGATATGCATAACAGACTCAATTCATATATATTTTTTGTTTCAGGTGTATCATTGGCAGAGTCAAAATGTCAAAGTTTCCGGCGTGGACGACATGGTTCTACTTCCGAATATAACTTCTCACTTAAATAAATACCACAGAACGTTCCTAATGAAGAATGCAAATTGAACTTCAAAAAATTGAATTCAAACGAATATATTTGCTATTTTTAAAAGGTTTTTAAATTAAAATATTTTTAATGCAAATGGCATACGTTGAAAAATTATTTTTGAGGCAGTAATTAATTGTAAATGTACGTTGGAAAAAGCAACAATCTTTTGTTATTTTCACGACTACTGATCTGAATTTGATATCTTAAAAGGCTTCGTCCCTTCTTCCCCAGAACGTTCGTAAGACATCTCCTATTATACGGTATCGATTTAGCACAGAGTGATTGTGTTCATTGAGAGTTATAGATATATTTATAAAGAAAATTAATCAAAGTATATACATAATACAAGATAAAAATTTAATCAAGCAATATTTTTTTAACAATGTATAAGTATATATTGTATAAATGACTGTGAAATTTCAACCTGTATCTAAAGAAGCGATACAATTGTAGATCATTTTAAAAATCTGAAAAATTTTACTACTTTTGCCTGATCACAAATGAATAAAGACAAAATTCTGGACTTTATGCGATTTTTGCGATTATGCCATTAATTTTCTTAAATGACTAGTAGACATGTATCGGTCCCGTCTTAGTATCGATCAATCCTTTCAAACAGATGCCATATTTTGGAGAAAAGGAGATTGAAATTTATCAAGGAGCGGTGGGTTGCATTCAACATAACGGTTTATGTTATCGTAATATCAAGGACGTTAATAAGTTTTCTTATATACATGTTTCAGGCACCATACGAAAATCCTCCGCATGTATATGGATTAGCAGATGAGATGTATAGGAACATGTTAATTGATAATGAAAGCCAATGTGTTATCATCAGGTATTACATATATCACGTTTAAGTTTAAGGGTTTTATTACTTCGAAACTAATTTATCGTGCAATATTTCTCTATCTCCTGCTATCAAATAGTTTCCAGTATGATCAAGTTTCGCATTGAAAAATTAATTTTGTTTTAAGTTTTGCCTATTTTCATGAAAATTTTGTATACAGTTACGTTGTCTTTTATAGTGGAGAGTCTGGTGCTGGAAAAACAGTAACTGCCAAATACATAATGTCCTACATCGCAAGGGTGAGTGGGGGTGGTGAACGTGTGCAAAAAGTGAAAGATGTTATTTTGGAGTCGAATCCGCTCTTGGAAGCATTCGGAAACGCAAAAACTGTACGAAACAACAATAGCAGCAGATTCGTAAGTGTATTTCAACATCCTCTATTCTACTCAAAATTTACAAATTGACGAAAAAAATACACTCCACGAATCGATTTGTTCTTTTCCAGGGTAAATACGTACAAATACAATTCGGTCGTGGTGGCCAGCCAAGCGGAGGAAAAATTTCCAATTTCCTCTTAGAAAAGTCGAGGGTCACTTGCCACAATTCCGGCGAAAGAAACTTTCACGTGTTCTATCAGCTGGTAACAGGTGCAAACCAACAGATGAAATGTAAATATCAATTGGTAATTATATTTAGAAAATTCTGGTGAATTATTTCTCTCGTTACAAATCACACGTTTATATTTTATATTGTACAATGTGAGAATACGAACTGAATAAACTTGAAATCATTTTCATATTTTGAAATTAAATCGTGTACAGGGTGGATAGATAAAGATTACCACTTTTAAGTACCTTGGATACGATAAAAATGGCACTTGTTTCAGGTGCAAAGCTGCACTTGTAAAAACAATCGTTACAACCGTGTAATAATTCCGGAGATAATCGAAATAGTAACTTTTATTATTCTTCTCTGTATAAACCAATATTTTGTTTTCGAATGATTTTCGTACACCATTCGATTTATATTTACACTTTCTATTCTGTCTTACAGCTGACTTTGGATTAACGGATCTCGATTATTACCAGTACCTCAGCTTCAGCGGGAATCATAGGGTTGAGAGCGTATCCGATGCTCATGAGTTTCAAGAGACGTTAAAAGGTACTATTATCCGGAATATAAAAAGAAATCACGTTTTAATGAAATTTAGAAGAAAACTTTCGAATAAAAAAAGACGTTTACTTTTATTCTTTTCCAGGATTGAGCGTAATGGGGATAACCGATTCGGAGGTAACAGATATTTTCCGAATAGTCGCCGGAGTTCTCCACATGGGAAACGTTCACTTTATGGAAAAGGAAAATTATTCACAAGTGGCGAATAAACAGTGTAAGTATTCCTTCAGGAACCGATAAACGCCCAGTCAGCCAAACCTGCAAAGTCAAATTTCGTCGAATGCCTATTATTAAGTTATGGCTACTTTGATGCAAGATTTGGAATAAACAACTTGCGCGCAAATTGACAGCAACATATGCAGCAAATTGGCTTGCGCAGACTCTGTTCCGTTTTCGCCATCAATTTCGCACAAGTTATGTGTCGAAACTTGCTGCCAATTTGCTTTACCATTTTGTCAGCTGACGTTGCCTGTAAAATCCAAGCCAAAGAAGGAAACAGATGGTTATGGTTTTTTAGACAACTTTTGTCATTATTTGCTGGCAATTTACTCGAAACTTGTACACAACTGATTATCAGGGCGTAACGCTTTCTATTAAAGCTTCGGTTAAAGAGAATGAGGAAATTAATATTTCCTTTCGCGTGTCATTCCCATTCTTCCTCATTCGCCTTGTCCCCCATTCTCCTTTCCAGTCATGACTAATCCAACGAGAAACCGTGGGAGTTGTGATTCCATTGGAGTATAAAGAAGGACGAATTCTGGAAAGTAAAATGTACTTATACAGTCAGAGTAAAATAATAGCTTTCAGGCCAAAACCCCGTGGTTATTTCCACAGTACCATTACCATTCCCACTGTGTTCCACGTATTATTACCTTAAGCCATTCGTTCTCCATCTGTGTTTGCAAAAACTGACCTCTCGTTGAGAGAGTGAACACGGATAAGGTGTATATGAGTAGCTCAAGAGAACTGTTATCGTTACAATATTGTAGAAACGATAGTACGTTCGACCTGAGAAAACATTATTGCATTCGACTGTGCTTATAAGTAGACTGGATTTTTATACAAAATAGTAATTCATGAGGAGAAGAACAAAAATAGGAATTTCTTCGCCTGCGTACCTTATTGAGTTAAGAATGACGTAGAAAACTCTGTGCATCTGATAAAAGTGTTGTCTTTTATTGTGGTTTACAGAGCCCTATAGGCTTTAAATGCATCAAATCCGCAGTCTGCTCATGAGTATTTGTCCTCCCATCGAAAAAAGGTTTATTCATATGCATTTTACAATAAAATAAATTGTTTGTGTATTTCAGGTCTTGAGTTTCCAGCTTACTTACTTGAAATCTCCGCGGAGCAGTTAGCCCATAAATTAACGTCGCGTGAATTTGAGTCGAAATGGGGAGGTCAGTCTGAAAGCCTTGATGTCACTTTAAACGTGGAACAGGCACTTTATACTCGAGACGCGTTGGCGAAAGACATTTATGCTAGACTCTTCGATTACTTGGTTAAAGTAAGTTAAACATTGTGGAGTGTATAAAGTTGTTCTTGAAACCTTTTAAATAATGGGAAGTTAAAATTACGGAATAAAGTGAAAGAGAGCATAGTTTTTATAGTATAAACTTTAAAGATTAGTATAAATAATAAAGTCTATTTGATTTTAGTTTTAATAGGACTCTTCACTGCAATTATTAATTTGCTAATCACAATTTCATTATTTTACGGTACTCTAGATGCATTTAATATTATATTTATTTATTATTAATAAAATATTCTATTTTTTTTATTAATACATATTTTAATTTGTTACAGAAAATTAATACTGCCATGGAAACCACGTCAGATGGTTTTGAGATTGGAATTTTGGATATCTATGGTTTCGAAATTTTCGAAAAGAATGGCTTCGAGCAGTTTTGCATCAATTTCGTGAACGAAAAACTACAACAGATCTTTATAGAACTCACCTTGAAGGCTGAACAGGTAAGTCTACTTTTATCTCGATAAAAATTCATAAATGAAAGTTCTTTACTAAATTGTAAATGAAATGGTTCCAAGTATAGTTAAATTTAATTTAAGACGCAATAAAAGTTACCAGAAATAATACTTTTCACGTAAAAAATTATATTAACGCGATTATTTTTTATGGAAACATAATTGTATACTTCATACTCCGTATAGTTATACAATATGTATTCCTATAATATGTATTCTTATAATTAACTGATACCTTCGTCATATAAATAATTTGTGTTTATTAAAAACATTATATTGACCTTGCAAATGGGGATTCTAACAACCAATATAAATTAATATTTTAAAAATAACGGTGCATTCGTTTAGTTACAATTTACATTTAAATTATAACAATAAAAATTTGTGTATTCGTTCAATACACTTCAAACTTTGTAGTACTTGTTTATGAGTTATACACTAACATCTTAAATAACAAGTTTATATTAATTGTAAGAGTATGAAAGTACAATTATCCTACTAAGACTCGATGAATATTTAATATTCGTTTAGTTGGCAATTCTGATCACAGAATCGTAAACAGAAATATTTATCAATAAATAAGACGCTTTAACGCGTGCTACATACTTTTTAGTAAAATGAAGAATAGGCAACAGAATTTATTGAAATTTGCATTTGATATATTACAAGAAATGTAATTCAATCTATTAGGTCAGTGCATATGATATATCGAATTTTTTATATCACTCAAAAACTTATTTTAGTAGTTAATTCAATTACCACGAGTGATCTGTATTCTCGAAAGTAAATATTTAAATTTGAAACTAATATTTAAAACACATTATTAATTATACTCTTTTTACTGAATTGTCAGATTCAACATTAAAATACGAAACTTAATAAATAAAAGACTTTAAATTGAAAATGTTTTAATTCCACCAAATAAAAGCGGAACTAAACTTTATAAAAAAGAATTATTTCAGATGTTGCATGAATGCAGTGTTTTTATTCATAGAAATATAATGAACCCTCCATAATACGGATACCACTCGTAATTGGGTGACTTACCCTACACCCAGAACGTATTTTTCGCTATTGCATCCGTGTTAACTCCCCTGTTCCACTCTTATAACATGACATGTCAACCATGTCCATTTAAAACGTTCCTGATAACTGGCCCATTTCGCCTACACCCGTGAATTTCCGACGAAATACTATCCAAACATATTTGTTCAATACACTAGATACATCAAGCGGATAAATGACGAACACGTTCAATTCGATTGCTCTAACTTCAATTCCAAAAAAGGCCGCACAGCTCACGAGATGACCAAATACAAAAGTATCGTAGTATAAGGACTCCCTACAATTTCCAACTTCATCTCAAGTTTACAAAACGCACCATACCTCTATACAATCACATACTATACCACTCCAAACCAAACAAAAGGAATCTTAAACGTCGATTTTAATCAACATCCATAAGTACACATACGATTTGGCCCGACTTGCTCAGTACACACACTTGAATCTTTCGGACCTCATAGAACTGAGGTCTCCGGAACGTTACTAATCATCGTTCACCGCGTATTCAATCATCGGAGAAACTGTATCCCGGCAGTATGTCCGTTCTTCTTAACGAGTATCGCTGAACAGGTGTCGTTTGCGCCATTAAACTTCTGCTGGGTACCTTCGACGGCGGTGCTGGTATCTGTTTAGGCAGCTCGCTCGAGGTCACCATAGAATTCTCCGTGGTAGAATCGTCCAACCCGTAAACCGAAGCCAATCTGTTCAACTTCTTTTTGTTCTCGGTTCGTGATAGATCTTTTCGGGTAACGTTTCCACGACGATCGTACTTCTTGGTCGGTCGACCTTTCTTGCCGAGTTGCGACTTCCAGTCGACCTGTTTCTCGTGGTACGGCGTCACCCGGAGAAATTCCATGGAATCGTCGCCGGAAGTCGTTTTTGTCGCGGTGTCCTTTCGAAAGGAGCCACTGTGACCCCTCACGTTCACGTACACCTTCGGTCGGCTGTTCTTCAGGTAATAGAGCTTCTCGTTGTAATTCTGCAACTTCGGCGGGACCATTAACACGTGTTGCTCGTCCTCGAACATCTTCAGCTTGAGATTCGGGGACAGACCGAAGTCCCTGACGCCGAAGATCGAGTGAGGTATTACTTCTGGATTCGGATAGCTCTCGTTGCGAATCGTTTCCGGTTGTTTCAACATCGCGTGCACGATGTGTTGAAGATTCGTCGGGTCTAATTGATCCCGACTTTGTAACTCAATTTCTAAGAAGCTGAAACACAGGTGTGTTTTCTGTTAGGGGAGTGTCGGTTATTGGTTTTTTGAATCCCCCTTTTCACCCCGACATCGATCCAAAATTGGAACTTAACTTCCGAACATATTTTTTGTTATAGAAGTATATACGAGAAAAAAAAAACTTTGTTAAATGTAACAAAGAAATTTATCCTTATCATACTTTTGTCTCATCAAAATAACCACCTTTATTTTGAATAATTCACAAACCAATTTCGGGCTCTCTATTTATTAATTTCTTCAAATATTCTTTATCTATATTTTCCATTCGGCTGTAAGTAAAATTCACAATACAGAATTTTTTAAAAGTGCAGTTTAAAAAAATTCTTTTCTGCAACCTGGTTAAAGTATGCAATAAAGTGTTTACAGGCGATTACTTTCAACGTATTCACAAAGGATTTGTCTTGCTAAAAAATATGACTATTTCTAAACTTTGGGACAGTAGTGTAAATATTTTGTTATCAATAATATTGTATTTATAATGCAATTATATGTATACTATCTGTGTATTACATTTTCTTAATTCAGTATCAACTTTCAACATAGATTATTCGAAGAAAAAGAGAAATGGCGAAGGTTTTCAATGATTTCGAAAGTTAACTAATTCGAGATAGGTAATCATAAGAAATTAGTACCTGTAATCGTTGGTGTTAGGTCTTTCGACGTTCGAACTCTGTATGAAACTTTGGAGGGACTTTCCTTCGTAGACTTTTCTGTCGTTTGGTCCTTGATCCTGTGGTATATGATTCGGCGAGGACGGTGGCCTTGGAAGAACCATCGCTGAGAACGATGGATACGTAAGTACGAAAAGTACTGTCGTCGTGAAATAGTTTTCAGCCGCGAACATTCTGAAAATAAATTTTGCCATATGAAATTTTTCACACGAAAAATATCTCCCATCCTGTATACGTACTTATATTTGTCACAACGGCATAAAATCCTCAATATAGTTTCACAAGATGTAATTTAACGTGCCATTACTGAAGACAATATGATGCAATCGAACAGCAATATTTAGTAATAATACGCGATTAATTTTTTTCTTAATTAAAATTAATTTGTTAATACAATAAGAAATATATGTCTCGAAAATACATAATTCGATTTTTCTTATTAAAATTAACCTGTTAAGACGAAACAGCTCAATCGAAGAGAAATTTTTTTTTTAAATCTGCGATTTATTCCCCTTTAGTGAAATTAAGATTTTTCTTATTAAAATTAACCTGTTAAGACAAAACAGCTCAATCGAAGAGAAATTTTTTTTTAAAATCTGCGATTTATTCCCCTTTAGTGAAATTAATCCGTTGCTCTCGTAATACAACAATCGTGTATAATAACAGTATTTATAAGAACTGTGTTGCCCCTTTTATGAAAGGAAGTAAGCTAAGACACAAAGAACAGGATAAAAACGTTCCTGGTCAGTCACATAGAACAGCCATGTAACGAGCGCGTTATAATAAACGCAGTGAAAGTTTTGCTTGCTCGAACAACCGGCCTGAAGAAACAAAATGATACAATTTCTCTTGTTTCGCTTATATAAGCCGATATGTTGAATTAGTATGCATACCTCCTCTAATCAAAGAAGTAACGTGACTAATGACAGTGAACTATAATTGCAAATGAATGTGTTGCAATTATAAGCTCGCCATTTTAAGGATTGTTTGACAGTATCAAGATTTCGATTATGACGATTCTATGTTCAAATACTGAGGTCATTATTATTCTTTCTCGATATGTTAGATGTACGAAAATGTATAATCTATTGTTTTCTATGGAAATATCTAGTAAGTCTTCATACTTTTTGTTTCAAGTTGTAAAAAAATTGTCTTTTCCAGTATACCTGCTATGTATCTTTTCTAACTGTTATAAAGTAAAGACGGTTAATTAGAAATTAATTTGTAAAAGATTTAAATGTAGTAATGAGCAAGAAGAAATTTATTACCAATAAACTTTTACTAATAGAGTGTGAAATTATTCCTTGGTTATTATTGCATTTTAGTCTCCATTGAAATGGAATATTATCAATTTTGTGCATTGATATTAGAGTGTCGCAAAAGATACTGAAAAAATCTGCTGGTAAGAACGAAAAATAAAGGTGATTAAAATTACTCAATATTTTCAGAGAATTGTTAGTAATATATTTACAAAAATATGATTTCCTATAAGTCCATAGTTTACTCATATTCAATTCTTCGTGGTGACGTAGTATCGTCTTAGTAAGATCTAGAATATCTTTAAGTGTGAAAATCATACTTTTATATAGCACATTACTTCATTCTTTGCTGGATATATTTTTAACATCTTCCACAGAATAACTAATTGGCTGTGCATTGTCAGTCAGAAGTTTGTAGCAATCTTTATTCTTTTTGTAAAAGATGATTCGCTTAATAAACTACTGTTTTATAAAAAACATCATACACAGTATTTCACAAGTCTTGAAGAATAATTGTCAAGTGTATCATACATCTACAAATTAAGGACAAAAGTCGTAATAAATATGGATTAAAAGAACCCTGTTAGTTCGAAAATATAGCTACTTTAAGTGACTATATTTTCATTGTCGATGCTTGACGTTTAACATAATTCGTGCAATTAATCGAAATCCTTATATCTCCATGCATACTAGGACTGTTTTCTTAGTTCTTAGCATTCTTAGAATACATCTGCAAATTTTTCCACAGTACTTTCGAAA